AAGGAAGACTTGCTCCCCCTTCCTATCAAAGAATAGTTTTGAAGGGAGAAGTATGATAAACAAAAGTGCAAAAAGTACAGTTTCATTTGTATTGTGAAATGTGAAAATAAACTCGTCAGCTGTTTTAGTTAAAAAAAAAATTAAAACAAAGAATAGATATACAGCTACTTTCTCTTAGTTCAGTGAGAAGAAAGATTTGTGCTAATAGTATTTAGACAAGATATCATATCTGCATCTTGTACTATTAATAACTACTACAAAGACAACAATATGCAATGTGCTAATTATTGTAACTGTCCTACTGACCTGTTTTGAAACTGTCTCAATGCTATTTCTTTCTCAATAAAATTAATATTAAAAAATCTTTTGTCTTCTAATCTTAGAAATCTTGACCAATGGCTTTTAAAGATGCTTTTGTACAGGAGTTTTGTTTTGTTTTGTTTTGTTTTGTTTTGTTTTGTTTCCCGCCTGAGCTGTGGACTACTTTTATCCATTTTTTTAATAGTCCTGAGGATTGAACCCAGAACCTTTTGCCTGAGCTTTATCCCTATCCCATCCCATCCATCCATCTCTCTGTTCATTTTTTGTTTGTTTGTTTGTTTGTTTGTTTGTTTGTTTGTTTTTGAGACGGGTTCTTGCCTAGTTACACAGGCTGAATTCAAACTTTTTTCTCAGCTTTCCTAGACGTTTAGGATTACAAGTGTGTACTACACCTTCTGGATTTTTACTCCTGCCTTCCATAGCTCGCAAGTCTTCCTCTCTTACACCCCAGGAAGGCTTATGTTGGCCAGCAGTCCAAGAGGTTGGCATAGGTTGCATTAATGGACCTGAGTAACAAAAGAAACAGATGAGTCTCTAAGGTTTGTTTTATTTTGTATTTTGTTCTTTTCAGTTTTAGAGACTGAACTCAAGACATTTTTCATGTTTGTCATACATAATGATTATATTCCCCATGGGGAATTTGTACCTGTACAGAATATATTTTAATTCTTAATTTCTTTCCCCTCCTTAACCCTTCTTCCTTTCCCAATTTACAAAAGCTGTTTTATTTTTTGCTTCAGTTTTTTAAAATTATTTTTCCCTTTTCCTTCCCTCTCACCACCCCTTGTTCTTCCCATTTAAATGTCTTCCTTCATTTTACTCCTTACTTACACTTTGGGATTTTTACACAAGAGAAATAATGTGGTATTTAAACTTGCATGCCTGATCTGTTTTACTTAAGATTATGGTCTCTGTATACATCCATTTATCTAAAAATATCTGTTTATGCTTCTTTATGACAATTGTACTCCATTGCATATAAAATACCAAATTTTCTTTATCTGTTCATTGCTTGATGGATATATGGGCCTTTTCCAAGATTTAGCTATTATTACTTGTGCTGCTATAAAAATGGGTATGCTTATATCTCTATGGTATGATGACTTTATTTTGGGAAAGATACCTAGGAGGGGGATAGCTGGGACGAGTGGAACTTGTACTTTTTGTTTTTTGAGGACTCTCTATACTGGTTTCAGGTTGTACCAACCTTTTTATTTTGTTTTGAGACAAGGTCTTGCTAAATTGCCTAGGATAAGCCCAAAATTGTGGTCCTCCTACCTCAACCTCCAGAGTGGCTGGGATTATAGGAATACACTACTGTACATGGCATGTCTATAGGTTTTTAAGGGTTAAAAAGGAGATTTTTTTTTTTTTTTTCATTTTATGTGTTTGGTACAGGATCTCACTATGCAGCTCAGACTCAGAGTGATCCTCCTGTTTTCAGCTTCCCCAGCACTAGGATTACCGTCATGTGCTACTACCCCCAGACTGGGTCACAGGGCTCAGCACGCCCCTGGGGGCAGGGCTGGTGCAGCATGCAGGGACCAGGGAATGACCCCTGATTCTTGCGCTTGCCACAGCAAGTGCTTAGTCCACTGAGCTATCTCACCAACCCTTAAAAAGGAGAACTGAATTAGGGTTAGAGTGGATAAAGTAATTTCAAGTTGAAATAGCCCCCTTATACTCCTCCATCCTATTGCAACTAAATTTGCAAACTGAGGGATAATGCTGTTCTGAAGGAGAATTGTGAATGTGGATTGCTTACCTCTTAAAGAGCATTATATTCCTCTCTGTAAGATTGTGGTACAATGCTGATAACAGTGATTGAACCTATCCCAATTTATCTTAAAAGTGATGGTTGAGAGGTAGCTTTCTGGTTTATGCAGGTATGAGGATTCTAAGTGGCATCATTAGGTGAAAGGGAATATAAGAACTATAGTGATGATATCAGTGTGTATGTGTTTGAGGAACCCTGCAGCACAGGTTCCTCAAACATCCTGAAGCATTTGAGGTGTACACCATGAGAAAGCAGTGCCAGTAACATGAAAAGACATCAGGAACTCCTCTTGTCCAGGAGCTCACTGCTTAGTCAAAAAGGTTAGCATTGTGAAGTGAAGGCTGTAGGAGAGGTATGCTTGGTGTGCTGTAGGAGGCAAGGTCAGCAGGGCCTTGAAAGATAGGGTGCTGGAAGTGAATCTGGAAAGTCGCTGTTCCTCCTCATCTATGGATTCAGTCAACTGCAGAATGAAAATATTCAAGAAAGATCTTTATTGTTCAATATAGATTTTTTTTCTTTGTAACTGTCCCTTCAACAGTGTAGTATAACAGCTATTCACATAATAACACTGTATTAGTTATTATAAGTAATCTAGAGATGCCTTAAATTGTACAGGAGTGTGTACATAGGTTTTATATGCAAATCTATACTATTTTATGTAAGGGACTTCAGGTGCAATGGATTTTGGTATTTATGGTAAAAGTACTGGAACTAATTACTGAAAACACTAAGAGACAACTGTATGTGTTCCAGGCCATACTTTAGTTTAGGGCTACTGTGGAAGTGAGATTTGAGTTTGAGAATTATGTTGTTCCCAACTATGTCTCTCACTGATTCAGTAGGTTTTATTGAATAGTTATTATGTCTTGGTCCAGGCAAGGAAGGAATAGCACTTGTGACAGTACAAAAGTAAGAGAACAGCTGGAACAGACAGAGATCGTATAGGTAATTTATAGTTTGGAGCTTATGAGAGAGGCCATGTTTGATGATCCTAGTCAAGACATAATAACCATTAAATAAAACACACTGAATCAGTGAGAGACATACTTGGGAACAACATGATTCTCAAACTCAAATCTCACTTCCTCTTTTCTGTGCAGTCATAACAGTAGCTAATAGGGTTGGCCAGATAGCTCAGCAGACTAAAGTGTGCTTAGGCAAAGCACAATGGCTGGGGTTTGATCCCTGGCATGCCATGCCAGCCTACCCCTGGGGCATGCTGAGACAACCATTCAGACTGGGCATGGTGATGTGACCCTATAATCCCAGCATTTAGGAGGCTGAAAACAGGAGAATCACTAGGAGTCTAATCTATGTAGTGAGACCCTATAGACCCAGTCCTAAATTCATAAATAAATAAATAACAGTAGCTAATAAGAACAAATATGGAAAAGAGAGCATTTTTTTTCAATTTATCTCTAGGCAATCATTTACTGACATTTAAAGCACATTAATTTTTCAAGTGTAGCATCTTTATATTCAAGAAATAAAGCATTTTGGTTTGTTATATCAACCTTTTCATCAGCTCCACTGTGGTTATCCTTCCTAAATATTAATAACAGAGAACCAAAGGGCTTGTTTTCTTTTGTCTCATTTTCTTCTTTTGTTGCTTCATCTTTTCAAGTACCAACTTGACCCCATAATCCTTTGTAACTCTTCATTGCAGTGAGTAAGAGAAGTAGCATACATTAATACACTTATTCTGGCCTTTTCTGCTCTGCCTTACAGTTTGCCATCTGTGAGAGTCTTCCATTTTCTGACTGCCTGTGTATGTTTGAGTGGGTGGTACAGTAACAAGAATTATACCATTTGGCTTGGAAATATTTGAGGAGACCCTAGTGTGCTTGACGTTTTGATAGAAAAATTAACTAAAACAATAGATCATGGTAGAAAGTGTTTCAAATCCTCTAGTTTAAAGGTGTGGATAAAAATTTGAATGTTATTAGAGTAAATCTCACATACATTAAAATATGAATTTTAGTGAAGGTACAGTGTACCCTCATTTACCTACCACCTGTATTCAACAATTATCAACACATGTCCAATCATGTGTCATCTGTACCTTTTTATTTTGAGGTTTATTTTTATTTCAAGTTGTCCAAGCTGAGATCAAACTTGGAATTCTCCTTCCTCAATGTCTCACAATGCTGGGATTATCGGCATGTGCCACCTTGCCGAGTACATCTATATGATTGCCCTTATTTTCTTATACTATATTTTAAAGAAAATTCCACATCATTTAATTCATGAATATTTTGGTGATCATCT